AGGAAGCTACACATCATTTGAATCAAAAAAGAGATAATAAAATGACTATCTCTTCTGTTGCAAGATACGTATATGTATATGAGTATATTACATATGTAGATATACATGCATATTATACACACACACACACACACACACACACGCACACACGTGTATGTGTATACCTATAGCTATTGATCACCTTACTAATTCTGCTAACTTTTCTTGGCCAATGGTAGTTGTGATAGGAACTTGGGATAATCTTCCTTGAGACTTTATGTTTCTGAAACTATTTGAAATTTACAAGAAGATGACATGACTGGCTTCAAAACAATGTACACCAATCTCTGACTTATTTACTTAATGTTCATACTTACTATTTGTTTGACTCTTAATAAATTATTTAAGCTGTCTCAGCCTCAGTTTCCTCATTTGTAAAATGAAGAGGTTGGATTTGATGGCCTCAGGGCCATTCCAACTTTAAATCCATGATTCTGGTATAACTCATCAAAGGAATACTACTCTTTTCCTCTTAAAAAGACTTCTAATTTTATATAGTTTAAGTGAAAGTACAAAACAATATAACCTTTGCATAAATTATATAAAAATCAGAGTGGTATATAAAAATTAAGTGGTGGGTAAGTGATAGCATGATGAAGACAATCCTTTAATTACCACCCTAAAAGAGAAAAGGATTCAGTTCTGCAAAGCATTAAGGTACTTTTGTATATTCTTTAATGCATGTCTATTAATGTTGAAAATGGACTTACTATTACAATCTGTATAAAGGCTTGCTACACACATGTGTCTGTAGTATGTATGGAAATAATTTTTCAGTACTAACAACACAAACAAGAAGATGAACTGAAATGATGGAAGCTTTTATTTTTCTTTAAGACAGGGGGCCGTACATCTTGGTTTATGGTTTTTAATCATAGGATTTGGGTTTTGAGGGGAGTTATATATCACTTACACTATCCCCTTCACTATACAGATGAAGAAACTGAGGTTTGGAGAGTTTAAGTGAATTATCCAAGGTAACACAGGCAGGAAGTAGCAGGGCTTGAATATTTAAATACAGGTCCCAGGACTTCAAATTCAGTCCTCTTTCTATTATGCTATATTGCTTTTTGCTCTCTTAATTAAAGATGAGTCATTAGATTTTTAAATTAAATAAGTATAGTCTGAATTGGAGCTTTTAAGCACAAAGCATTATGACAAATTCTCTGTATAATGCTTTAAAATTTAAAACAAGCAGATATCAAACTCTCCTTAAATTTTTGAAAATAAGACCATCCAACTTATATCTCTCAAAATGAGGCAACTTGGTGGCTCTGTGGATAGAGTGCTAGATCTAGAGCAGAGGTTCCCAAACTTTTTTGACCTACTGCCCCCCTTTTCAAAAAAAAAAAAAATTACTCAGAGCCTCCGTGGAAATCTACTTTCTTTAACTCTTCAACTTTTTTTTTTGAAATTTGCATTATTTCAAGAAAATATAAAATATTTTTTAAAAAATGACACATCTCAAATTTAATAATTTGTGATAAATTTGTGGGTTTTTCCTGCATTGAAATTTGAATGATGCAATACTGCATCATGTAACCATATAGTATTGTATTGTAAACACGTCATTACAGGCACATATTCCTGCCAATGCATGTTAGACTTCCCAACAGTGTGCGACATACTTGCCTGCCAACACTTGCTTGTTAAGACCTGTTGGGGGACTTGACCACTGATAAGTCATAACTTGCATTTTGTATTTATTTGGAAATAAATGTAATCACTTTGACTTTAACTCTGCTATACAATAGACAAAACATGTATGAATGGTTTTTCAAAAATCTCTTCTCTTCTTTCATTATGCTTCCACTGCCCTCTTATTTTTATTAAATGCCTCCCAACTGCACCTGAGGCTAGTAGTGCCCCCCTATTGTTCCAGAGCTCCCCAGGTGTAGTATTGCCCACTTTGGGAACCTATAGTAGGGTCAGGAAGATCTGAGTAAAAATCTTACCACTGCAATTTACCAACTGTGTGACCCTTCACAAGTTACTTAACCTCTCTCTGTCACATGTAGTAGAAGTAATAACTTCCCAGAGTTATTATGGGAATAAAATGAGACTAAAACATTATATTATGATATTATAATTATATTAAGTCACATTTAAAGCATTATATAATTGCTTAATATTCTTCTTCACTGAACTTAGTATTGAAATAGAATCATTGTCATATAATGTAAACTCCTTGAGGACAGGGAATTTTTTATTTTTTTCTGTGTACTCAGTGCTTAACATAGTGCTGTTGTTAAGTCACTTTTCAGATGTGTCTGACTCTTCTTGACCCCATTTTGGGTTTTCCTGGCAAAGATATTGGAGTGGTTTGCCATTTCCTTCTCCAGCTCATTTTCCAGATGAGGACCTGAGGCAAACAGTGTTAAGTGACTTGCCCAGGGTCACACAGCTGTAAGTATCTGAGGCCAGATTTGAACTCAGGAAGAAGGGTCTTCCTGATTCCAAGTTCAATACTCTATTCACTGTACCACCTACCTGCCTGGAACATAGTAGCAGCTTAACAAATGTTTTTGGGTTGACTGATCATTGTTACTCATATTTACAAAGCACTTTCAAAATGCATAAAGTGCTTTCTTGGTGGACTGATGAAATAAATGGTACAAGTGTAAATGTCTCCATTTTAGATATGAGGAAACAAGTACAGAGAGTTAAGTGACTACATAGACTCAGGTTGTCTGTTGTCAATACCAGTTATGTTCCCATTCCTTTTATCTCCGTCCACTAAAGGACACTGCCTCTAAGAATAGCAGAGGTAGAAGAGACTTTGGTGATTAGTCCAACTTCCTCATTGTATGGATAAGGAAAATGATTCCTAAGGAGAGTAAGTGACAGACTCCCTCCAAGTCACACAGCAAGTTAGTGACTAAATTAGAGTCAGAAACCAGGTTTCCTAGCTCTTCTTCCATTGTTTTGCAACTCTGCCATACTGCTTGGCTGTGAGGTCCTACTTCACAATTTATCTGTAAATATGCTCAAAAGGGACAACAGGTTTTCACTATTGTTCTACCACCAGTTCAGGTGAAAACAATCATTACTTTTCTTGGAAATGAATAATTTCCATGGATTATCACACTAAGGTTTACAGAGATAAATTTTTTTTAAAATAATATAATTTACCTTCAGAAAGAAACTAGATAATTTGGTATTTAGCTTAACAAAGTACTTCATCTACTGTGTATGGAAAAGCTTTCTTACATGATTAATTTGTCCTTAATAGCTAACTAAAAAAAAATTAACATCCCTATCATTTATGTATACTTCGGGTAATCTAGGTACTTCACAGGAAAAATAAGTGTGCTGCTTCTTAAAGATATTCTAAGAGGTCTAAATGACTCTTATTGTTACCCTGAGAAAGACTGTGTGGGGGAGAGAAAAAAAGCATGGCAAATTACTTCAGCATTAGGAAATAATAAGAGAGTAAAGATGAAATTGTAGAAGGAAAGTACAGGGATTGTGTGTGTGTGTGTTTTTTTTTCTTTCTTGTACTTCTGTACAGTGAAGATATACCCTAAGCTGTCAGAACCATATTAAATGGGGCATAGTTAAATTGAGTGGCTCTGATAAGGGCTCCACTGTGCTATCAAAGTTTTAGATCAGTTGGATTGAATTTCTGGCATATTGTACATTTCCAGACTTTCATTCTCTCCTTTTTTTTCCTTTCAGTGACACTACAAGGGCAGCCTTAGATACACTTATAATTTGTAGTTTTATAATGCAGGGGACATCTACATTTTCAAAGAAGAGATGATACCATGAAAGCCAAGAGCAAAGAAAAAAAAGTTTTGCAAAGTACACAGTCTGCATACTGTTTCTGAGAACTTGAAAAATGACCTTGCATCTGCCTTGAGTCAAGATATAGTTATTTGAATGAAAAATAAAAATGTGCATTTGCTTAAACTTTAAGTATGGCTGTGGTACTTTAACCTTATGAACTCTAAACATCAATAATGAAGCTAATAGGTTTTCCAGTTCCTATTATGATTATGCCTGAAACATTCTCCTCCCTTGAAATATCTCCCAAAGAAATGCATAATTGCTTCATATTTCAAATTTTCTCTCAAAAATGGTAGCAACTGCTATATTTTTATAGCCTTCTTTTATAAGAATAAAAAAAGTTATGGATATATTCCTTCAATAAAAATCAGAATTTTTGTAGAAATGCTGCAAATACTTCATGAAGAGCAAACGAACAGGACAAAATCAATTATTTGAGTGAAAAGGCTATGAGCATAGGATGTGGGTACAAATGCAATTTGAAATATAAATACTAGTTAAAGTTAACGCACCCTGGGAAGATCTACATGGTTTTTTTTTTGTTTATTTGTTTGTTTTTTAGGGAAACTATTTATTGGTAGTTTCATTTCAATAGTAAGAAGTAAAAATGATGTGTACAACTAAGTTCCAAATAGTCTTCCTCAAATTTTATAGCACTTCCAGCTTGGAGTGGTTTGAATTGGCATATGTGAGTCCTCTTAAAAAAGATACAACATGCACCCCCAAGACATCAACCATAGCTAATATTCATCATTTCCACTTCAACCAAATTTGCTCCTTTTTGCGTTTTTGATGGTGGAGATGATCAACATAAGAATTTCCAGCACAAGGGTATAATTTTAGGAAAGTACATTGGTATCTTTTGATGGGAACACACTGTGATTATGCCATCATTTTGCATATATAGTTGGAGAAAGTCCTCACCAGCAGAAACAGGAAGATCATTACAAGTGTCAGCATTGCCCAGTCCATAATCAAACTGCCAGCTTCTTGTACTGATTCTCATCCTTCCTTCTCTCCTTCTCTCCTTTCCTTCCACCCCCAATATCTTAACTTTATATTTATGTCATCAAATGGCTACAATGCTGTTTGTTTACTTGGATGGAAAGGCCCCATCCTAGCTCAGAACACAGAAATACAATCAAGCTGATGCAGCATGTGAAGGAACTTACCAGGGTTTCATTTGGTGTTTCCAGATCAACTTTGGTTTTGCTGTTTTTTTTGTGGTTTCCTTGAGTGCTGATAGAGTTGCCGGGAGGAGTGGAGCCTTGAGAGTTGCCCTTAGACACACTCCGGTAGGAAACATTATTTGATCCACTTTCAGTCTGCTGTGCTGCTTTCTTATCAACTCTGCAGGTAGAAAGTGATGCCTCTGATAAATCACATTGCCCTTCTTCAATCATACTACTTTACCCATTTCTTTAGTGTTTGAAACAGCCTTCCCGTACCTTTTTGTTTCCATACCTTCGTTTGATAAATATTTCTAAGCAGTTCCCACAAAATCTGTTGTTTACAGTTTCAGGTAGTGGATTAATTTAGTTTTGCCCATTGAATGCTTTATTTTTTATGATGAAAATTGTTCAAAGGGCAAACTAAAAACAATGTATGGTTATTGTTAAATGCCACTCCCCCCCAGGTTAGTAGGAAAATGTAATTACTTTTGGAAAGTTACTAAGTATGTGTTTTCTGGTTTTACAATCAATGAGATGGCATACATTAAAAATATATGCATAATTGTCTTCCATTTCATGCCATATGGTTATGTGCATTCATGGTTCCTGGGGTAGGTTGAATTTCTATCAACTTTGATAAAACTTACCATTCTTTAATTTCAAAGACCATTGGTTTGGTTAACAAAGTAACATGGACCAAATTATCATTTTATTGCTAACATTTTTTAAAAATTTTAAATTCTTGCTAATGTATAAAAGATTGTTACTATGGATTTCTGTTGAGGAAACATGCTTCCATCACATTTACCATCCCTGGAGCCTCCTTTCAAGAAACATAAAATAAGTATGGCAAAGATCAATGAGTTACCTGTTTAAAAGTTCTTTCATAAAGGTATCTTTTGTCGAACACGTGACAGGACTGAGTCTATTCTTCTGTTCAAACTTCATTTGGACATGAATGTCTTGTGGAGTTCTCATATTCCTTTTGCTTTTTAAGACACTGTCTGGAACATCTCCTATTTCTGTTCTCCTGTTGAATTCATTTTGTGTCTCACATTGCAGTTCAGGTTTCCTTTTGTCTTTCTTTTTCTCTACTTTTTGCTGTTTGTTTCCAAATCCCAAACTCTTTGCATCTTTCTTTTCCACTTTGATTTTGGAGATGTCCATTTTTCTGCCACTCAGAGCTGGGAGTTTACTCCTTCGAAAACCAAACCAGCTGGCAATGGAGGGCCCCATCTTTTGTTTGGCCTCCATAGTGGGAGACTTAGTTTGCACTTGGCCCTTTTCCACGTTTTCCTGAATGCAGAGCATGACTTTTTCTTCTATTGTAGGTGGGACGGGGGCGTCTTGGCTTAAATCCCCCATTTCAGAGGTGTCTGATGACTTCCCAGGGATTTCTTGCTTGCATGTACTGCTTACTTCAAGATGACCTAGGCATTGAATCCTTCTTGGACTTTGAAGGGAATTTGCCTGGTCTAACAGATGACTGGGTGATGATGGGGATGGAAGGCATCTGTAAGGGCCATTGCCTTGTTCTTCAGGCATAGGTATGGTTGGGCAGTCTCCCTGAGAGGGGGACCTGTGGGTTTCAACCCTGGATACATTGTGAATCTCTTCTGTTTTGGGAGAAACCTTGAAAGGCAATTTGCTTGGACTGCCATGATGGCTGCTGGAGCTGTTTGTACTTCCATGAGATTCTTGCCGAGAATAGGAATCTTCCAATGGCTTACCAGATATTGAAAGGTTCTCTGTGATCGACCCTGAAGCTGTCTTGTTTGTGAATCCATCGGTAGCAGAGTTCTGGCGTGTGAGAGAATTGCCTCTGTCAGTGGTATTGGTAATGATTTGAGTCCGTACTTTACCAAGCCCTTCAGAGGCAGCAGTGGAAGGCTTTTCTCCAGAATGAACACTGAAACTTTGACTACGAGCTTTAGCCCCATTCATTCCTAGAGCTGGTTTTAAGTGTGGCTTGCTGGAAGAGGTGGACCTCTTCATAAATCTGTTTTCTAATACATCTCCCCTGTTAGCCTCTATGTGGCAGTTCTCAGGTGACTGTGGAAGGGTGCTCTCTGTGGCAAATCCTGAAGCAAAACTGCTTTTCACATCTAAATCCACCATTGACACATTTAGTTCACCACTTGTGGTGACAATTCTTGTTAGATCCAAGGATTTTTCGGGCTTGGACTTGATTGCTATGGCACAGCTTTTGGAAGCCGCATTTATGCTCTCCTTTTCCTGTTTTCCTGGAACAGTGGAACTCTTCCTGAGCAGTTGGGGGGATTTTACAAGTACTTTGAGGCCCACAGGGAGACGGGTCTTCAGTCCTTTGTCACGAGAACCTTGGATGTTGTTTGTGATCTCATGACTTTTAGAGGATGGGGATGATGAGGGACTATTAACCTGAGAGGACACTGATTCATTCCCACTAATGGGGTGAGACTTCGGTGATTTGGAAAGACAGTCAGTGTACTGTCCTCTCTTTCCCGGAGATGAGCTTTTTGAGGAAGGCATTTCTAGTGGTCCACAGCCTAAGGGAATATTCTTGGTAGTCTGTAAGCCTGTGTCAGAAAGACCTTGAATATTTCCAGAAGCTTGGTGACTGGAGACTTTTGTAGAACCTCTTTTAGGAGAAACTTTCGGAGGGCCTGGACCAATCATAGCAAATGTACCAGAAGACAGTTGACTTGTACATCTACTTTGGACTATTTTTTCTTCATTAGATGAGGGGTGAGAGAAGTCAGGCTTTTTGAGTGCCATGATTGATTTTTTCCCCAGGACTTCAGGCATAGCCTGACTAGAAGAAATGGCAGCACTTGGAGATGCTTTCAGTGGGGAAGACTTTAGTGTGGTCTTTGCCATTTCACTAGGGACACTGGTTCCTGGCTTGCTGGATAAAGGTGGTGAATGTTCATAATTAGGCCTGATCAGCAGTGAAGCTGACCTGCCTGGAGGGGGAGGGGGAGAAGGTGATTTGACCACTTCTTCTGGTCCCAAGTTACAGTGTTTATCCTTGGTTGGAGGCTCCCCATAGTCAGTGGGCTCGATGAGAGGTCTTGGCAATAATAGAGAACTCTTAGAGCCCTTAACCCAGTCACTCTTGACAGGATTTTTTAAGCTATGAGGAAGCAGCTTTGGCTGTTTGGGGATATGGGAGTCAGGTTGTAGATGCAAATGATGTACTGGGCTCTGGGCTTTTTGGAACCTAGAGAGTTTTACAGGAGGTAAGGCTGGTGATTTTTCTAGGGCCATGGAGCCAGGAGGTGAGACTACAGATGTGTCATCAGGATCTATTACCTTTGATTTCTGAGGCAAAGATTTCCCCCTGCTCGGTATTTTAGTCAGATTTTGTTTGTGGCTCGTACCCATGGACACGGAAGACACAGAATTGCTTCGGTATGTTATGTTATGTGTAGATTTGGCTTCCTTTTGTCGCTGAGTATTTTCTAGTATTGATCTTCCAGGGCTTAAAGACTCTGTGGGCATCGCAAGAACACCTGCATTTCCAGTCCCAATGATCTCTTTGTGAGTTTTTTTCTCTCTTTCATCATCAGGTGCCTTTAAAATGGTATAGTCTCTTGCATTCATTCCTAGCTGCAAATTAGTGATTCCCTGAGGTAAGAGTTCAGTGTATTCTGCATTGGGCCCAGTTGGAGCTTGGTTGATTGAAATTTCATTTCTAGTAACAGTGACAACTCCAGTCTGATGTGAGCTGAATTCAATAGGCTCCCCATCCTCAGCATCAAATATTACAGTAATACATTCTTCAGAGGAAGTCTTTTTGATGACCCTCTGCTGTTTAATGAAACTAAATGTCTTTGGCCTGCTATCTGAGGGAATGGACGTTCGTTTTTCCTCTTTACTGGAACACACAAGTTGAGATTTTCCGTGCCCTATCAGGATGTCAAAGGTCTGAGTACCAGGAGTTACCAACAAGTCAGAAGGATTTTTCTCATCACTGCTTTCTATATGTAATTCATCAAGGGTTTCATAATCATCAGTATCAGAAAGCTGTAGATTAAGGTCCATATGGCCTAGAGCAGGCAGGTCTTTTCCTTGTTGAAACTGCATGTTTGGGCATAGCTCTCCCTCTGATAGGCAGTTGCTATCAAAATTGGTCAATTTTTCAGGTTTTTCCTTAAAATTAGCAGAGGAAGTGTTTTCTGAAAAGTTTTTCCCACTAGACTCCCAACCAAATAGACTGTCAGAAACACTGTGAGTTAACTTGTTATAGTGCAGCCTGTGGTCTTTGCTTGGGATTTCAGGAAGCAAGGCTAAAGAGGAAGCTTCATCATCAGCATCATCATGGGAATCAGAGTCATAAGTGAACGCCTGTGTGTGCTCTTTGCATGTGTTTCCTGCTTCTGTTGGTATACAATGAGGATGCTCCTTATGGCTGCCACATTTAATCCCTGGGGAATAGATTCCTTCATTTGAGTTCATACAATCTTTATAACCCCATTTGGTTATTACAGAAGGTGGTTCAAGCAATACTTTTCGTTTCTGCAGCTTCCTTAGCCCCTCTAAAATGTGACTTTCTTTAATACGTGTTGGAGGTAGCTCATCTGCAGGACTAGCGAAGTCACTTGGGAGGGATGAGGCAATGCTAATCCTTTTGTCCCAGTTAATTGATGACTGTCAGGGAGAAAAAGTCAATATTAGAAAATAATGAAATAAGCAGGTTGAAAATATCTTTAAAAGAAAAAAAAGTAGCCAATGAGCTTGGCATGTCCTAGTGATATAGCTGTTCATTCATCTATTAATCAAATATTTATTGAGTACCACTTTGTGCAAGGCAAGGGCACTGCAGGGAACACCAGGTCCCTGTCCTCAAGCAGCTTGCATTCTGGTAAGGGAGAAAGGGCACGAACACAACCGAGGCACAATGTTATTAAACAAAAATGGAAACAAAGTGCTTCAGGTGTTCAGAGGAAGGAGGGATTCCTTCTGGTTAGAGTGAGAGAGAGGGCTTCATGGAGGACATATAATTTCAGTTGTCTTCAAATACAAGGAAAAATAAGAGGGAGGAACTGAAAGAATAGCATGAGCAAAAAGGCAGAGTCAGATAGGCACAAGGTCTGTACAGAGAGCACCAAATAGGTCATTCTGATAGAAGCAAAGGAAGTAAGGCCTGAAGGGCAGGTTGGGCTCAGGGATGGGCTTGAATGCTAAGATAAATGCTAAGTTTAGAGTTTTTCAGTTAACACTGGGAAACCAGGGAAGATTTTTAAAAGTAATTTCCCAATAGTTAGGCAGACATCCAGAAATGTATGGTTAGTACTTTAATGCAATTAGTGACCTGAATAAGTTAAAATTCTTTTCTTCAGTGCCTCTTTGAAGCAGAGACTTAGTCCCCAGGAAGAAACCAGTTTGAGGGCACTTACTGTGTACAGAGTACACAGGAAAGGCCTGCTCCCTATTCTTGGCAACCTGAGAGTTCGTCATGTTTTCCCTCACCATTGCTTACAAAAATGTCTCTCTCTGGCCTTTTAAAGGAATGAGACATTTTGCTACAATAGGAAGGCTTAGTAGTTAGATCTATGCCTTCTGTGCTTTCCTCTTTTGTGACCAAATGTGAACTAGGAGGAGTATCCTGCTCCTTCTCCAAAAAAGAAAGAAAGGAAGGAAGAAAGAAAGAAAGAAAGAAAGAAAGAAAGAAAGAAAGAAAGAAAGAAAGAAAGAAAGAAAGAAAGAAAGAAAGAAAGAAAGAAAGAAAGAAA